AGAAAATACCATATCCAGGGAAGGAAGTTTCTCACAATATTTGGCATTAGGGGTCTTTGCACAACCTAGAGCAGTGATGGCGAACCTTTTTGTTGTGGTGTGCCAAAAGCACGTGCATGCATGCCGGCACCCACAATGCAATGCACCCTGCACAGAAACGTACAACATTTCTGCCCCACCCCCTTACCTGCACTGCACATGCGTGTGCCTCCCAGCTGATTTTCGGTGTTTTCACCCTCCTGGAGGCTCGTGGGAAGCCTCTGCAGCCTCGGGAGGCTGAAAACGGGCCCGTTTCGGCACTTCCTGTATTTCCAGAAGGCCTTTTTTTTTTGGCCTCCCGAGGCTGTAGAGGCTTCCTTCAAGCCTCCGGGAGGGTGAAAATGGCCTCAAACAGGCTGAAAATCAGCTGGGAGGCACGCACATGTGCAATGCAGGTAGGCTTGGCCGGGGACTCGTGTGCTCACACAAATGGCTCTACATGCAAAGTCAATGGGGAAGCCAGGTTGGCTTAACAAACCTGTTACTAATTTAACAACTGCAGTGATTCGTTTAACAAATGTGGTACAAAAACTCATAAAATGGACCAAAACTCACTTAATATGTTTCTCACTTAGCAACATAAATACTAAACTGTGGTCATCAGTCAAGAACTACCTGTAAGAGGTTTGAGGCATTTTCTGTTCTGAAAGGTTATTGGGTCATGTGGTCTAAATGTATTCCTTTCTACAGAATGCAGGGAGAAAAGAGCAAAAAGCAAACTCTGTTCCATCCTACTGCCACCATAATCATTTGCAGCCAGTAGAACTCTAGAATGTGTTGGTATGTCCGTGTTTTGGAGTACTGTAATTTCAGAATGCTACAACTGGAACTTTAAATGCCTTGGTGTGTTCAGTTGGGGAAGCATTGTTCAACATTTTTATCTTCACAGACTCATAGAATGTGAAGGTTGCAAATGACTGCAAGTCTCATGTCCTGCCTAGTGCAGATACCCATTATTACAGCAAACAGCAGATCATCATCTAGCCTTTGCTTGCTCAGCAAAAGAGATCCTGGACTTCCAAGAAAACCTGTTTTATTGTTGAATAACTCTAAATTATTCCCAGTATCTGACAGAAATGTCTTTCTTTGTAATTTAAATCCATTGTTCCTTGTCATGTCTTCTGGAAAACTTTAAATAATTCTTTCCCATTTTCTGCATGACAGTCATTCAGATATTTGAAGACAGCCATCACATTTTTATGCTGTCTTTTCTCTGGGCTCAGCATTGCCAACCATTTCTTGTAAGTTTTTCTTTTCACATCCCTTGTTATTTTCATTGCTCTCCCCTGTCCAATATGACAATGCTCTTCCCAAAATGTGGTGTCCCAAAACTGATGTGGTATTTCAGGCATGACATTCGGTCTTCAGTCTCTCTTTCTGTCAATTCAGGGCTGTGCTTGAATCAATTGCAGTTCATATTCTCGGTTTTGTTGGTCATTGAGTAAATAATCCTTACTGTTGCATATCTTCAATATACATCATCTAACTTTTGTTTTCTGCTTCTTTTGTTCCCTGGTGGAATTCGGTTAATATAGCATTTGGGAGAAAGAGTGAATAAATACTAAGGGGTCATCCTTTCATTTTTAAGGAAATTCTCTTTTGAGGAATTGCGCAGCAGCTGTCCAGATGAAGTCGGAGACACTAACAAAAACTGGTGGATAGACAGATGGATGGATGGATGGATAGATGGATAGATGGATAGATAGATAGATAGATAGATAGATAGATAGATAGATAGATAGAT